GCGTTCTGGGGGGGAGGTTGTTTGGGGGGGGGTGGCGCATGATGTTTTACAGCCTTAAATGTTCTTCTGTCTCTGCTTGCGCTTCTGTTAGTGTCACTGAGTGAGCAGGCTGTAGTCTGGGACAGGCTGTCTTTCCCGCTGGGTTCTTCATGGTGGGACAGGGGTCCCATGCCCTGAGCCTCAGGTACACCAACCTTCTTGACCCCCCAGGGAGGGACCACACTCCCCTTCTGGGGCTTCCTTTGAGGCACCAGTGCCCCTTCCTCTGCTTAGCGCTGTGCTGTGGGATTTCCTCCCTGTGAGTTTTTTATCTCTGCTGCTACCTGAGTTGATCTTCCCTTGTATTTCATTTATTTATTTATTTATTTTGTGGCTTCCATGTAAAAAAAAAGGGGGGGAGGGAGGCCCCCCCCCCCCCAGTCTTTTCCTGGTGGCTGTCTGAAAAGAATAAACCACTTGTCCTTGCTCGCAGAAGTGTGCTTTTGTTTCTGAGTTGGGCTAGCCAGGCCTTGGCCAAGCATCCCAAGTGAGGGAGGGCCCCGCATCTGGCTCTTAAACTTGCCTGGGAGCCCTGGGCTGGAGCTTGAGTTTTGCCAGTTGCAAGGAGGGGGGACAGCAAGCCTACCCCTGCCAGGGATGGAGTTAGTGTGGCTGAGGCCCGTGCAGCCTGAAGCCCTTTGTGGCTATGCTGACAGTACCCTCCATCCTGCTGCCAAAGATCAGAACATGGCAACGATTGCCTGCACATCTCCCACTTTGCTGCTGCCTGCCTCAAGCCTGCATCCTGGGGAAAGGATTCTGCTCCTCACCTAGGCTGTATGGCAGTATGGCTGCAGCCCACAGGGTTGGGAAAAGCCACAGTGCTGGTATTTCATTCTAGCATTGCCTTTAATTGTTGTCCCTTGTTCTGTCTCCGGCCTTAGCATTGCCCAAATTGTGCTGCTATTCCTGGGTGCTCTTTTCTGCTGTCAGAAAAGCAGGCCCACCTCCCTGAGTTTGCTGTGCTTTGAGTACAATGATTCCTTGCAGAACAGCAAGGGTTTGAAGGGATGAATTCTGAGAAACTGCACCTGTAAGGAGGGGATGTTTAACCAGCAAGAAGAGTAAATAGCAGTCAAGATGGAAGAAAGAAGAGTGAGCAGGAGGCTTCTGCTAATGGCCCAAGCCAGAGGCATGTGTGTGGTCTTTCAGACCAGAGTCAGAGTAGCTGGAGGCTGAAAGAATATCTAAAAATGTTCATGCTGTCGTGAAACTAGGCTCAGAAAGACCAAGCACAGCAAAGCGCTCCTTATGGTATTTCTTGCCCTCCCCTCCCAGTTCCCACTGCTCCATCCTCCTCCTGCATACATTAAGCAGTTACAGACACCAGTGACCCTTAGCTATGGCTAGCTGGTTTCAGCTTCTGTTTGCAGACAGCAATAACGCCAGCTCCTTGCTGAGTCTCTTCCCTTGGCTCTTGGGCAGCAGCAGAAGTGCTGTCCACCAGAGGGGAGCAGAGCCCTGCACATGCAGCTCCTCTAATTTAGCAAATGCAGCATACACCTCAGGAACAGTTGTGCAAAAGCAGACCAGCTAGCTGGAGAAGCTGAACAGAGGAGGGGAGCGGGGAAAGGCGAACTACTGCCCAAGAAAGCCAGGCACACGGGAGCAGGTAAGCCTGGGGCTTTTTCAGAGGCAGCCTCTGCAGGGCAGGGTGCACTGGTTGAACCTTGCCAGCAGCAAACTTACTTCATTCTCCTTCCAGCATCCTCTTCCTACGACTCCTGGGAGTCTCGGAAGGACTAGCCCTGCCTGGAGCTAGGCCACAGTGCAGCTTCATGCAGCACTGTACCTTGGGCTTTGCCTAGGAGGGTCAGAAAGGAAGTGTCAAGCAGAGCAGTGACATGACACTCCTGCAGTAAGCCCCATCAGAAAGATGAAACAAGCTGGTTTGCTATGCTGTATCATTTTAACAGCTAGCCTGCCTATTCACGCTTTGTGTAGTTCAGAGGCCTCATTTATTGCAGCTCCAGACAGAATACAGGCATTGCCTTGCCCCAGACTCATTTATACAGTTAAGGCGGGCCCTCTATTATAAATGTGCATGGAGACTGAGGTACAAGCAGCATTCACAGCAGAAAGACTCTAACTCAGTTTCTTCATGGGAGAGCAGCTACAGCCTCTTTCTTTACAGCACGGGGGAATATGTGGGGTTTTTTTGGTTTGGCATTTTTGTTTTTTAAAACCTTCTACATCAATCAAATCCTGCACACATCAGGGGAAGTCCAAGAAAAAGCTGATTCCACCCACTGTATTTGTGATGGTCTGCAGCTGCTAGAAAAGGGTAGGAACTAGTACTAGGAAATAGTCATTCCTTTTCATCAGCATCACAACTGAGGGTGCAATAGACTACTTCGTTAGAAGAGGCTGCCTTCACTTATAATTGGGAAGCACAAACCCTTCTCTAAAGTTGATGACAGTGCTGGAAAAACCCTAACAAGGTCCAGGAATGATTTCTTATTGGTCTAAAAACAGGCACCACTCCCTTGGGAAATGGTCTCAGCACCACATGCCAGCCAGAGCCACTTTTGCCTTTACAGTGTATCTTTCATTTTTCTCCTTGCCTCCTTTCTCCCTTTGCGATGTTTACATCCTTTTTCCCCAATTTCATGATTTACAGTTACCACACTCCTGTTTTATCAGGGTACGCTGATCTGCTTTCAACTCCAAAATTGAGCCAGCCTGTCCCAGCTCTCCTCTTGGCTATCATCCTATTTAGCAAGCACTGGGATTTCCATGCTGTTGGTATTGCCAGATCAAGAAAAGGCTTATTTTTTCCCAGCCCCAAAAAACCTAATTACTGGGAAGAGGCAATTCAGTGCCAAAGAGCATTTGAGAACAGGAGCATTCAGAGCCAGAGAAGCCTCAGTTTAGCAGCACCCAGGGAAGCACCTAGCTTCCAAGCATAAGCCTGTTACCTGGTGGTGAGCATGCTAAGCCAGCGCTGCTGCTGCTGTCCCAGCCTCTGCCCCAGAACTTCTGCTTGCCTCTTCAAACACATCCCACTTGTTAATTGTTGCCCAGTTTTATTTCATTTAAAATCGACCATGTTAAATATTTTAGTTACAAGTTCTGTGTAGAGGGTAATAGACTCTGCAGGCACTAGCAACCCCCTCACTCCCCAATACATGTGTGCGCTATTAGATTAAGGACTGCCCCCTCCCTCCCCCCCTCCCCCCCCAAACCAGCCCCCTTAGACTGGGATATAAACATTACCCTTACGACCTGGCCCTCCCCTGCTGTCTCTTTGCCAGCACCAGGCCAAGCCTTTGCACGCAGGAAGCCAATGAATGGTTTCATCCACAGTCAGTGAGCTGTGATTCAAGGACAGGCTGCAGGGGGCTCTTTCTTCCCCGCTGTTGGGCATGTAATAGTGAAAGGGTTGGGGCCTCTGGGAACAGTGCTACCTTCACAGAGATCACAGGCCCTGCCCATCTGGGTGGGAAACAAAAAAAGATCTCCAAGGGAAAGCATGGGAGCTGTGACCACTCTGTTCCTGTCTGTGGAGGGAGTGTTACTAGGCAGAGGCATGGCCCTACTCTGATCAAAAATGCTGCTGCAATCAGCCTAGGTGTCCCCCCACTGCTCTTGCAGGACTGATGAGTATGAAATATTTTCAAGCACAACAGGGACAAAACAGTAGTAGCCTTTCCTTTCCTCTCTCTCCCAGGAACCTCAGTGCTAGGAAATAAAGCTGAACCTGCCCTGGAGCAGCAGGGAGAGATGCCCTAGCACAGCAGCAGCAAGCAGTTTCCTAGGACAAGCTAGAGGTGAGTTTGGTGCTACGAGGGAGAGGATGCCGTTATCGATGACCCTGGAAAGGCAGTGCCGTTCAGTAGTTGGCCCACTGTATAGCAGTCCGAGTGAGAAACTGACCCTTCTTTAAAGGGAACAGGAAAGGAGGTAGGAGCTATCCCCAGGATTTCCTCTGGGACACCTCCGGTCACGGGGGAGGGAGGGAGACTGGAATGACCCCTGCCAGTTCCTGAATGCCCTGCATTGTCCCCGCTGGTGCTGCAGCCCTGCCCTGGGTGGGTTGTGTGGGGGTATGGCTGCTCTACAGGTCGAGCAGCAGCACGCGGGGATCCTCCACCGCTGCCTTGATCTTGCGCAGGAAAGTCACTGCCTCTCTGCCATCAATCAGCCGGTGATCATATGTCAGCGCCACATACATCATGGGCCGCACCTCAATCTGAAAAGGAGGAACGAGAAAGACATTGGTGAGCTAGCCCTACTGCTCACATGCTGCCCTCCAGCACATATGGGGAAGAACTGGCTTTTTCCCTATCCTGAATGATTGGCTCACACCCTCTTAGGTGTGTCTTATCTGGCGGGACTGTACACCCAATCATTTACCCAGGAGCTGACCACCAGCACTGGCCAGGTCTGCACCACACACAGGACCTTGTTCCCTTCAAGCTCTGTTCTCTGTCATGAGGACAACAGCCCTTTCTCCTCCTCCCCATACCTAAACAGATTATCCAGTTCTCTCCCTTATGGACAGAGCAAGGCCCCCTGCACACCTCAGGTTAAGTACCACTGCCAGCAAAGCTACCCTTCACTCATTCATCTCAGGACAACTTTTTAGGAGGTGGCACCAGCCCCCAGAAAAAGCATATGGCCTACAGCCCTCATCCCACTGAGCCCTCCCCTCTGCTCTCTGAAACCTCTCATGCACCTCCGCTTACTTTGCCTCCAACAGCCACAGGCCTGTCAAAGATCGCGTGCATGCCCAGGATGGCTGACTGGGGTGGGTTAATGATAGGTGTTCCAAAGAGGGAACCAAAAACCCCTCCGTTGCTGATTGTGAAAGTGCCACCATCCATGTCTTCAATGGCCAGTTCATTCTTCCGTGCCTAGAAAAAGAGTAAGGTCTTAGAAAGCTGCTCAGATAGATTACAGAAGGCAAAGTACAATGGTTGGGATGTTCACCCTCTCCAGGAATGACTACTGATGACAAAAGCTTTACTTACTGATCTGTTCAGCTGAAAGAATGAATTACTTGGAAATGCATCCTGTCTTTAAATCTCAAAATTTACTGGCTTTGGGGCAGGATTCTCTTCTTTTAGCTTCCAACTCTTGCTTTTGCAGGAGACAGATACAGGGACTTCTATCCCAGGACAGCTCAGCCTTGGCCTCCACAGACAAAGGTGAAGACACACTATACCACTAAAGCAGAGTTTGAGGTCTACTGGAAGGGCAACAAGGAGGTGGGCCTGTCCTGTAAGGCATGGGCACAGCTACAGCTGTAACTGGATCATACCCCATAACACTGTTCAGTGTGTTAGAGGTCAGAGATGATGCCACAGAGGGACTGAACAAATTCATGCCTATCCAGCAGCCTCAATTCTTTCCACTCCTCTAAGCCCTTTCCAAAAACATCTCCAGCTTTTCTTACCTTCTCCCCCAACTCGTGGATAGCACGTTCTATGTCAGCAAAGTTCATATTTTCTACATTCCTAATGACAGGGACCACAAGACCCTAAGGGGAAGCAAAGCACACAATCAGCAAATTCACTGCAGTGACAAACAGGGACAACTGTTACTGGGCAGGAGCCTGGTCTTGACTCAGCAGAGTTCCTGCCTTCTGCTCTGCCCAGGGCAGGTGGTTGGCACAACGGCCTCACACCCTGGCAGCCTGCCAGGCAATACAGCACGATGTGCACAAAGGGCCGACACAGTAAATCAGAGAGGCCTGTGACAACTTCTTTACCCATGAACCCATCACCTATAATCAACTGGGTCTGTTTGGATCCCAACTCCACCTTCGTAAAAGCAGGCGAGGCATTGGGCAGCGTTCATCTGCCACCTCTACCTCCACAAGAAGAGCGGAGTCCCTTTGTGCTGGACCTCCTCTAGAATTGGAGAGCAGTGAGAGAGCATTAGTCCCGGCTGAACCTCTGCCTCACAGCAGAAACAACTAATTGAACATCCATATCTCCATTCCATGCGTTCTCTGGCCAGGGACAACCCTTTGAAGCAGCAACGTGTTTTACAGAAACACAGTAACGGCACGCAGTACAGCAAGGCTAGCCAAGGGACAGGACATACAAAGCTTTCTCTATCTATGCCGTATCCCCATGGGTCCAAGAAAAAAGGGTTTCCCTAACTTGAGCTTCCCCATTATCCACTAAGATCTGTATTAGCCTTGTCACTGCGTCTCCTAGGATGGTGGCAGAATATTCCCAATCCTCCATTTTCTCTTAAAACTCCCCTCAGCAGCCCTCTCATCAGGAAGACCCGTCCCATCAGTATGTTTCTGCTGCAGTGTTGCTCACAGCTGAATTGCCTCAGAATACATGATCATCCAGACCCAAGGCTGCTGCCTTGGAAGCACGGCCAAAGCATATGAAGTACTTACTCGGGGAGTTGCTACAGCGACACTGATGTCCACGTAGTCCCTGTACACAATCTCTTTGGTTGTGTCATCAATCACTAGGAGAGGAAAGAGGTTACGTTACGCTCAGAGTACCCAAGAACAACAGCTCAGCAGGCCGGAAGTAGCCACAGACTCAACAACTTGCTCATCTCTAGCTTAAACATAGCTCCAAAGAAGAGTAAGTCCTCGCTGCACCTGGGAGAAAAGTACCAGGATAGAGAAAGAGGAAACATTGGCTAGACAGTTCAGTCCCCTCAGATACTGCCCTAGTTGGTCTCCTCTTCTGGGTTTGAGCAAGCAGCTCTGACACCCCCAGGAACTGCAGCACGCCTCCAACAGTTACATCCATACCACCCTGCAGGGCTGTGCCCGCTATGGGCTGGATGAGCGCCGAGTTACATACCACCCCTGCCCCACTGTCCTTGCAGTCCCTCACTAATAGCACCCCTCTTGGTGCACTGTCCTCTGCCCACATAAGTGGCATTAGCAATATCAGCTGCAGCCCATAGGACTTTGTCCTGCTTTGCCCTGCGTATCTGACTGGCTTATGAAAGCCGTAAGCCCTGCCCTGGGCTTGGCCAACAGCTTCCCCCACGTTCACCAGTGAGGTTCACAAATCACTGGCAAGGGGCACTGCTCACCTGCATTCACAACAGGCTGGTCTTGCAGAGCAAAAGCTGCAGCTTTCACAAAAGCTGACATGAAACCTAGCTTCAGGTTGTGCTTCTTCAGGAAGGGATCCTTGTGCTGGGCTCTCATGTCCCGAATGTTACTGCAAAACACATGACAACACTGGTCACCAGAGAGTCCAAGGAAAGGCTATTCACTTGCTTTGTAAGGGACTTCAGCACCAGCTCTGACAACTGCAGACCTTCACCACCAATTGGCAAATCCTCAGCCTGCTGAAAAATCCTCCAAAATGCCATAGATGGAACAGGTTGAGAGTGGCTGTAAGGCCCCTGCCAAACAATGCACAGGAATTGGTACAGGACCACAAAATCAACAGGACAAGGTTAATCTGTAAGGCTGTGCTGCCAGGCGCAAGAACAAGATGGGGTGTAACTTATTTCCTACTCAGGCCAGATGTTGCAGAGATCCTCAGTGATCCTCTGAAGCCATTGCTACCGATACCAGTGTGGCACTGCAGACAGCAACATCAGATGAGGCAGGACCCCAGCACCGCTGGGCAGTCCCAGCAGAGTAAAAATGGGAAATACCAAGAGCAGAAAAGATGCAGACCATGGCAAAAGGCTTCACCTACCATGCGAGTCCAGCACCGGCTGGCACACTGATGCCTCTGGCACACTACTCTTCAGCTTTGGGAACAGAGTGAATGTGAAAGAAATCTTCCCAGATGCTATGGAGGGGGATGCTGGCCCACCTACAGTCCTCACAGTAGTGTTTCCTCACTGTTTGTTCATCAGAACTGAGGACATTTACAGAAAAGTCAACTAGCCTGTGGCTATGAGCTCTGCCTATTCTGGGCTAATACCAATTGCTGTGGAATTGCACTGTCCAGCCCTCCCCCCTCCAGAGACCTTAAGTCTTTGAAGAGAGTTTCAGCAAGGGGCAGGGGTCTCCATGGTTTAGAGTGTTTGTTTTCCTGTGCCTAACCTTGTTTAGGGCTAGGATTACTGCCCAAAGACATTAGTGCCTCCCAAGACACAAGGGATGCAGCAATGAGGACGAGGCTTGCTATGAAACTGGCTCGTTATGGCTTCCTCCTTTCAGACGCTGACCCCCCATGGGGAGCAGGAGGCCCCAGCACAGGCCCTCACGAGTCAACAACACAGCAATCGATCCAAAACAGATTACCAGATGCAATGAGAGCCCATGGCCAGCGTAAAGTGACACCTCAATGAGCCTCCGAGAGGAGATAAAGCTGCAGCACTTCCCCTCCAATCAAGACTATTTTGCCAACCTTATTGTTCTGAGACCCAAATATTTACATGTTTTGTCTTAAGGAGCAGAATAGGATTTCACAGGACAATTTGATTTGGGCACAATTTCCCCTTAATGCACTGTAACATAAGCTGCCCACCCTCCAAAGCCATTAGTGCGCTCAGTCCATGCAAGCACTTGAATCCGGAGACCCCCACCCACCCAGAGGGGACAGTGAGGGATGCTGGTCTGCCTCTTGAAAGCTGCACCATCTGACAACACAGGCCTCAGACCTGTGCAATGCTCACCTGAAAGGCTGAGGAGCCCTGGGGAACCAGCTCATGGGAGGCCAAATATGCCTACCTCCAAAAGCAGTAACCTGGAGGGGTGGCAGAAAGCAGATGCTACATGTTGATGCCTCCTAATATTCACTATACAAGCAACACTGTCACACCTGCTCTTCTGCTCAGCATCTACCAGTCCTCAGCCAATGCACAGATGAGGAATGAGGTTGCTGCCTTTTATGAGCAGCAGAAGACACCCAAGGAGTGAAAGGCCTTTAGGAAGTTATTCACCCCTCATACTACAACACCAACATGCTCTGAAGAAGTGGCACAGACAGCAGTACATATTTAAGAAAGGCGCCCCAAAAGACATCATGCCAATTCATCCAAGGAGAATCGGCAAGGTCTTGGCTACTATTTAAGGTGACTGCCTGCATCTATTTCTATTTGTAAAGGGGGAAAGAGGTCTGATCCTCACCTCATATCAATTTCATTGAAAGTGGTCAGCATGGCACAAGTATTTTGAGCCTCTTTCAGACGCTGAGCAATACGCTGACGCATCCTGTTCATTTTCACCTGCAAATAAAAAAAAAAAAAAAAAAAAAAGAGAGCAGAAGATGCCTCAAGTTCATCCAAGGAATAAAAAGCACAAGACAATCAAAGGGCCTTTCTTCCCATCTGACTGACTAGCAATGGATGCCTAGGGCTGTTTTCACTCCATGTCTACCTGAGGGGTATGACAGGCTGAGAAGTTGATTGCACTAGTGAGATACCAAGCTCAGGAAACAGTTCCCTTGAAAGGCAGAGCTTTATCAGATTGAGGTAGAGCTACTTCAGACCTATATTCCCAGGAACTCCAGGCGTGGTTCGGTTTCCAGCACAAGGCTGATGCGAGAAGAGCAAACTGCTAAGAACAGTCAGTGGGAAATACTCTTAAACACTACTTATTCTAAGCTGCTCAACTACGTTCTCTTAACACATAAGGCAGCTGCTGCACCTCCAGCCCTTTGCTAAGGGCTCGTGGACAGCCCGAGCAGAACACACTGAGCCTTCTGTGCTCAGTCACCAGAGCTCACAACAAGACTTCCATCTAGAAATGACCTGCATCAAGTCAGAGCTGGCTCTTCCTCCACCCTACCCCCTAATTGGTTATGTGGAGCATTTCCCCATCCATTACAGCTCCACTGAGCTGTGTGTGAACACACAGATATGGACATATCCAGAAAGCTCAAGGTTCATCCCAGAACAGGTTGCTACCCAGCAACAGAAGCAGTTGGTGAGGCCCCTACTCCTGCAGCTTACCCTATGCTCTGATCTGGCACCTTTGCTGGGCACTGCCTCCCCAGGAGGGGCTGCTACTGGAGCTGCAGCCGGCTTCACCGCAGACACTGAGAGTAAAGAATACATCTGTCAGAAGTTATCAACCACAGAAAAGCCCGAGCCTGACCACAACACCTTAGGGTAGAAGACCCATTTGAGCCCCTTACTCAAGCAACACAACGTGGGAGCAGCCTTTAACTGGGCTGGGCAGGTTCCAGACACAGCTAAGCTCTCCAGTTCAAAGCATGCAGGGTGATAACGCAGGGAGGCCTTCACCGTGAACACCACGGTTGTTTGCTACCTTTAACTCTGCATACTCTCCCCAAGGAGGACAGGCTTGAAAAAGCCTTAGATGGTTGTTGCCTCACCTGGTTTACTGTCGATAGGCTGAGCTGACACAGGGGGCACTGGTGGCATTGTGGTAGGAATTGGTGCTGCAGCAGGAGGAGGAGCAGCAGCAGCTACAGGTTCAGGGGCTGCAGGAGGAGGAGGGACTGCTGCTGGTTTGGCCTTGGCAGGAGCAGCTAAAAGACAAGGAGGAAAAAAACCCCTTGTAAAGGGCAATCACAAGATGCAAGTGAAGCCTCTACTGCCAGGGATCTCTGAGTCCAAACAACCTGGTAGAAGTTAACCCTTTGACATCAGAGTGCCTTTAGGTGTTCAACACTACTGAACTGATAGGCGCTACCATAAGAGGATCCCATGGTGAAAGCGAGACTCTGAGGTTCTACTTTTAGCATACTTGAGCATGCTCAAGTTTACAGAAGAACAATGGAGAAACCATTAATACCATACAGGCACATGAGAGCGCAACTCGTTTTACAGCTCAGTTCACATTTAAATTTCCCATCTAATTTGTGCACATATAGCAAACAAGATTGCTCCTCATTCTCACTGCTTTACTCCGTGTTCCTGTTGGAGAGCTCGGACATTTCAGGAAGCGATTAGCTGATTACATGTCTGCTCATGACCACCCACCATGGAGCCTTCACCTCCTTGTTTTATCTCATCAACTTGCTAAGTCTCCTTACCACGCAGGAGAAAAGAAGCAGGTAGAAAAGAGTTGTGCCAAGGGAATTCTCAAACATTAATTTTAGCTTAGTGCTGCAATTTCCTCCAGAGGGACCAAAGGGAAAGTTTCTCCATTACGTTGACTAAAATTATGCTTCTCTAACAGGCAAATGAATAGGAGCATACCCTTCCAACTGCAGAGGCAGATGGAGGACACATGTAGCCTGCCTCAGGATTCCCCCAAATGCCTTGCTTCTATCTTCAGAAAAAGGCTGGAGGAAACAGGAAGGCCTGAGCTAATTATATGCTCCTGACTTACCTCCAGTTTTCCTGAGTTTGAAGAGAGGTGTGCCCCCTTCCACTTTGCCACCATCAGGTACCAGAAGCGCTTCAATCACACCAGCTGCTGGGGCTGGAACTTGCACTGATGTCTGAAAAAAGGAAAATTAGTGACCCCCCCCCACCCCAGTCATTGGCTGGAGAATAAGGGCCCAAGAGAAGATGCCAGCACGCACAGATACGCGTTGTAATTTGGCACAGAGAGCAGCTCTGTCTCACAACATTTCCACCAATTTTCACGCCATCCAACAGGTTTTTGTGCCAATACTTAGGAGTTTTTGGAAAAGCTGGCAGTGTGATGTGCAGCCTGATCTTCCAGCTCCAGGGCACAATCCAGAACTGACTTGCTGCCAGCATCTTCCTGACAGCAACATGGGAAACAGAACTTAGCAGGGAGCTTTAGCAAGAACTTTACAGCTTACGATTCTTTTAGGCAGTGAATAAACTTAAAGACTAACTTTAAAGCAACATGAAGATCACCTGTGGCACTGCAGATTTCTCTTCTGTTTAAAAATAAATGGGTTTCCCAGCTTAGAGCCCCTGAACTGGAAGAATGAATAGAACTGCAGCTCCCACAAGCATCAGCACTGGATGAGCATCAGCTTCCAGTATGAGGAAGGGAGAGTTTAATTAAGACTGACTCTCACTTAATGCACAGCCAGCATTCAAACTAAATGAGAAAAGCTCTTCTCCATGAAGGGAGCAGGAGACAGGCAGGGCCTGCAGGCTCTAGGAGCTCTCAGCTGGAGAGGAGCCATACAGGTTACTCACTAGAGAACTAGAAAAAGTTTTGGTCCAGAAAATTCCTACCTTATCTGTTTCAATCTCACACACCACTTCATCTTCCGCCACTGTGTCTCCAACAGCTGAATGACAGATATGAAGACCACTGTGAGGAGGGAGATGTGCTGTGGTCTCCCCTCTTAACCCACAGCAGTCTCCCACTAACCTAGAATTTTCTCACCCCAGTTCTCCACAACTTCTAAAGAGAGTCTAGCTCAAATGATCTACTACCCAGTCAGAACCTGATTCCAGTTTTGACATCTCCCTTCATCCAACATCATCATGGCAAGAAGGTACAGAGGCAGTAATTGCAATCCTTACTCCTCCGGAGAACTGCAGTTAGCCCTTGCTGCCTCATTTGTCACGCTGACAGGCATAGAACAGACCTTCAGCCAGCAAACTACAATTCATCCCAGAGCTGTCCAGTGCAGCTGCAACGGTGCTGAGAACATCAGTGAAGAGGCAACTACTTACCTTTCTCCCACCTGACATCTCCTTCTGTGACTGACTCTGCAAAGGCTGGTGTGTTCACTGTAACCACGTCATCCCCTGTGAGAGACAGACACACCGGAATGCATTCAGGGCTCAAAACAACATGGCACCGCTTCATTCTTGTCACCTGGACTCTGCCAGAAGGGGGTGGTCAACAGACATAAAATGCTGGCCTTCTCCTTGCTTCAACACTGATTAACATTTAAACACAAGAGAAATTCACATCTGACTGCAAGTCACATCGTTGCAGGAATACCAGACAAAATCTTTACGGCCTAGGGATACAAACCCTCAGCCATCCACTGAGGAGGGACAGCAGTGAGACTAGACCAAGGATGGAAGCTTCAGCTGTTGTCAGGATAGAAACAGGCAGCACAAGAGTCATCCCACTGACTCCTGACTCTTCACTTACTATGCACTGCAGTGGTTCTGAAGTAACGGACAGTGAAGACACTGGAGCTATTTACTCTGCAGAGAAAAAGAAAGAAAGAAACACAGAAGAAAAAGCATGTTCCCCTGGGGGCTGCCAGCACCAATCTCAAGTGCAATTCACATTTGCTTTTTTAACTGATCTGAAGGCTGTTCAGCTGTCCTGATGTGCATATTTGTTCCAAGGGACTCCTACTTACTGGTTTAAGCTGCAACAATCCCACTGAGGGCCAAGGAAACGTTACAGTTTATTATTGCTAGCGTTCTCAGAAATCCTCCAGCGAGAACGAACATTTACGGAATTTTAATCTAGGGAAATGTCTCAACAAAAGCCCTGTGGTTTAAATCCTGATAAAAGGCTGACTTAACCAGCCCACCCTGCATCTAAGATTAGTGCAGTAACAATTTTTTAGCCTTTAGATGAGAGCTGTCATCTCTATAGGAGTTGTTAGGCTGCTCCAAAAGGAGAAAGCAACACAAATGCCTATGGCAGCCCCTCCAAGAGTCAGCTATTCCTCTCCATCACGTCCCTTCACGGGGAGTAGCAATCCCAAGCTTTCCAAAGGATGTGGTTTCCACCTGCTGCCACAACATTTGCAAAAACAGAAGTATATGTGCTTTAGCATTTCTTCTAACACTGACTACAATACTCGTTGCAAAGAGCCCAGCATTTCAGGCTTTCATGGATGCGCTTTTAAGGTAAAAAGATTGTATCTGGGGAAATCCAAGACCACCTCAACAACGCAAACTTTGCCAGGTGAACAAGAGCTCCCTAAGCCATCCTACTTCTCCTGCAAAAGACCACATTTTCATATGTCCAACAGAATTCCTGCTTGGAGGCCACCATTAAATATTAGAGCAAACAAGATTTACAGTCAGATACACAAAAGATAAAGATCAATTTATCACTCGTCTCCTCATTTCTGTCCCTCCCCTGCCTCAATACCTGATTCCAAACAGAGCTTATTTGCCTTAAACATGCCACAGTTCCTGACCTGCAAAAGCCAGAGAATGGAGATTTTGCTAGGACTAGCTTCAAGCTCTTAAGATGTGCACAGGGATTTAATGATAGCTGAACAGAGCCTGCCTCCCGCTCCCCAAATCATATCAGGGCTAGAGCAGCCCCAGTCCCTACATATCACACATTTCCTGTGGATACTTACACAAGCTTCCTGCTGTTGCTGTAAGCCAGTCCCTGGCTCCCAGCCACACCTGTGAATGAGAATGGTGTTACCCCACAAGACCATTATCCAGCCCCCAACGGTCCTTGTCATGTAAAAGAGCACAGAGGACACCACTGTCCATCCCAAAAGAAGCCTGGGACCAAGTGAGGTACGTAGCCACCCCACTTGTGAGGCACCTCAGCACCAGCAACCCTGCTCAGAGCTTGCCAAGAACAGTGGTTTTGTTTTCATTTAGATTTACAGAGATGGGGGGGGGAGGGGAAGTAAGTTACACCTTGAGCTTGAAGCTCATAAGGATAACTTTGAAAAGAGCAAACAAAACAGCAGCTACTCCAGCCAGAGCAAAAATAGGAAACAGTCAGGAGGGACGTCTCCAGGACTGCTAAAACTTCACAGCTGCTGGTGAGTTATCCCCACCAGTACAAAGGGGTTCCTAACAGGAACAAGGCATCAGTCATATGACTTCCAGGGGGCACTCTCAAGAAACCTCATAATCATGTGAGCAGCAAAGGAGGAAAAATATGCTGAAAGTGGGGTGTAGGGCAGAATAGCCAGAGTACTATCATCTCCCTTCTTTGTCCACCCACTGGCCCAGGAACATTTCTTTTTCAAAATTCATAGAGGAGAGATTCAGTCAAACTCACACAGGTTCTCAGAGTTTCCCATACCTCCCTGACCCATTCCCACACCACTCACATGCCCTGACATTGCAGCTTTTATCACACACTGAACTCCTGTCCTTTGCCTCTTTTAGGGCACTGGGCATATTTCCACACTGATCTTCAAGAGAGTCAGCACAGCAATCAGAGAACATGATTACCTCAATTACACAAGCCTTGAAGGAAGAATCATTTTCCCACTTGATTTTTTTAAAAAGGTGGTATAACTTTGACATCATCCCCAATTAAAGAGCTAATGTCAGAATTGTAAAACTGAAAAAGGTAAGCAGTTTTAATTCATTCCTCAGAGGAGAATCAGAAGTAAGTGATGTATGGCTTACTTCAGACAGTATGGCTAAGAAGGGGGATGTTTGAGGGAAATCCAGTTTAAGCACAGAACGGGAGTTCAAAGGTACACTCAATTTGACATTTGACTTAACATTCACCCATCATTTTCAAAGGAGATTACTACGGAGCTATTCCCTGTAACAGCACGTGTTTCAGTCAGTGCAACGCTTGAAATACTCTGTGCTGCTGCCTGCGAAATCTTCATTCTAGCTGAATAGTTCAGTGGCATTTACATTAGGCAAGCGAGGCACCCACAGAGAAACACACAGCTCATTTCACCAACTGTTTCTTCAATGTATGATTGATAGAAATAACCCCCTATCAAACCTTTTACCAGTTTCCACAATCAGCTCTGTTCTCTCTAGGTAGTTTGAAATGAGATAAAAGCATAAGACTCACCAGATAGAGAGCATCTTGCCAGTGTACAATTCCCCTGTCAGAGAGGAGAAAAACTATCAGCATTGCAAAAAGGCAGACTGCCCTAGAAGGACTTCGTTTTTCCCAAGAGACCTGGACCAGAGACAGGACCCACCATTCATATGCTCCAGGCTGCTAGCATGTTACTTTCCTATAGCGTGCTATAGGAGGAGATGGAGAGAGCTTCTTTAAGAATACCCTTCTCTTTGCTTTGCTTCCTTCCAGGATACTTTCCTGTGGAGTGATATTAGAACTGATGTATTTGCTTTTCAGCTGTAGCTCCTACTGTTCTGACCATCCCATGCCAACACGCTTCTTTAAGAAGGAAGGAATCTAAAGGTTCATTCATTAAAATTTGCTACGAGAGGGTCAAGGATACTGGACATGATGCAAAAACGTTCCAAGACGTTTACTCGCAAAGTCACGAAATCCAACATACCGCATCTGTTTTGTTTGTTTGTTTGTGGCCATGGAGCCTTTGAACTCCAGAAGGCCAGAATTCTCCATTGCCTTCAGTGAGACAGGAATTCCACCTTCTGGTAACCTTTCATTTAATACCCACATAATCATTGACTGTACCTCCAACTCAGCATAACATTCCGCAGAAGTCAAAGATATTGCAAGATATTCCAGTTTCTTTCCTTACTGTTAGAATAATAACTTCCACTGGCATCAGACCCCGCAGATCTGGAATACCTAAAAACTCTTTATAAGCTATAGCAAAATACCACTTTAACCGTGACTAAAATGCAGTCGTCATCTCTGGATTGGAACAACAGCAGCTCAAAGCATTCTCATCTAGCAGCCAAGACAAGAGGTAAACACTATTTCAGTCAGATCTTCAGCTTCTGAAAGAAGTTTGCGCGCAGACCTTGACTTCAGCTTCACCAGTACAAGCAATATGGGATATAACTAATCTTAAACATCAAAATAATTTTTGGAGATGCATGTGACAAGACAACATAAACATCAAGGACCAATGAGATATACAAGACTGTCACGCAGTCCACAGCATTAAATGTTGTAGAATATAAAATAAATTCCATGAACATTTCATACTGTGAAAATCAGTGATAGTTCTTGAATCGGCACCTTGGCAGTTTAATTATTCAGACCTCCTGATGGATTTACTATATAGTGTTATTTGGCTTCGCAGATATTAATGTACACTCAACCCAGTTATCTATGGGCAGTTCAGCAAAAAAATTCAGCAGGGCTGTGGATTAACCATGCCAAAGAGGCAGGCACCCAGGCTGACTTGCTGCTAAGCCAGCCTGGGTCTGGCAGAGCTCATTAGCTCCAGCACAGCACCATGCAACTACCCTGCTTCCAGGCCCAGCACAGGGATCAATGAGCCTGAACTGAACGCCAGCTTCAAGCAGCACCTGCCAGCTGCCCCTAAGCCAGGCCTAGTTTGGGAAGGGAGCACTGCACAGACTTTGCAGAGATGTCATGAGCCTCAGAGAGCTTAATCTTGGTTCAGCACTGGCCCTCTGCTAACTTGGATCTGGTTCCTGTAGAATCAGCCCTAGGCTGAAATCAATAAGACAGACTCAACTCCATATGGTCAAGGATCTTTGCACCGTGATCCTTAGCATGTATATTTTAATCAAATTCCTCCCACTTTCTGAAGTGTCCCAGATAACAAGAAGTTAATTACTAATATTAAGCAGCATTGGCTCCCCTCTGCCCATTAATGTTTTTCTGGGCGCTTTATGAAAAACTTTAAAAAAAAAAAAAAAGCAGCAAGTTTAGCTCTGTCCTACGATACATGGTTGGGAGAAAACACATCTGCAGATCTCTTCCATGAGAGGTGCCAAGTCTGTGTTCCACAGCTGCTGCAATATTAAGGAAAATTTAGTATTACTCTATCTACCCTTTTGTCTTTTAGGTAAGAAGGGAGAGAGAGGAGTTTAATGTGAGGTGGAAGCCACTAATAAAAGATACTGAGACTCTCTCTTCTGTCCCTCTGTCTTACGTTCTTCAGAACTTCTTTGTGTCCACCTCTTATAAACACAGTATGTTAGCACATGCAGCACGGAGAGGACATCTGACAGGGGTGTTTCCTATTCCCTTTTTCTTGAAGAGTCACTGTGATTGTACCTGCTCCTGATATCACCTGTCTAAATCTGCTCTGTATCTGATCCAGAAGCTTCTTCAGTAAAAAAAAAAAAAAAAAAAAAAAAAAAAAAAAAACACATTTACTTTAAAGACACAGCCTTTGCTTAGATAAATAAGCCTTGGTCAAATTTGCTAGTGACTCACAAACCAAGTGATTAATTTTTTCCTCAAGTTTCACATGATTTCTCAGAATTGTTTTTCTACTGTTATTATGCCAAAGTGAGCTTGTCATGCAGCTTCCCAGGCCACACTTTTTAAGGAGCAGTCACCTTCCAGCATGTCACTGCATACTGAAATAAATTACGGAATACATAAGGTAAAGGCAGCCTGTAAGCTACAAATTTATTAAATTTAAACCAACAGTAGAAACAAGGACCAGTTTGGGTAAGGACGCCAACTGAACAGAAGGAGCGTACAGCTAGTTTCACAGAGCCAACACAGAAGCCCTGTGCGGGGCAGCTCTGATGACAAGCAAAGCAGCAATCACTTCTCCTGCCCTGGCTTCTTAATAACGTAGCAGCTGCTACGTTAATAACCAGGATGAGCGCAAGCCTCTGCTACACACAAAAGACCACTGCATCTTTTTCACTGATTTGGACACAATTATACATAGCATCAGAAGGCAGATGCTAAGATAGGACGGAGACAACACAGGTAAAGGACGCTGTTACTAAGACAACAGGCTGATAACTCCTCTAGTGTGCAGAGAGGATCAAACAGGGAAGGAAAAGTTGTTTAAAAACTCTTTCAATAAACAGAACTTCATTCTCAAAGAACTGAACATAGCTCCTGATCAAACTAACCTTCTTCAAAGGTTACTTGCTCCTCTTTGGGCTCCTTCAGGTGGTCCTTCAACACTGGGAGCTCCCCACTGTAGTGTCTAACATACTCAAAAACGGGCTCCTCATGTATCTTTGTGATTTCTATTTATCCACTCATCACCTCTTTTCTTTTTTTAAAAGAGCATCAAAATCCAAGTGACCCTTCTTCACCCTTTTTGTTTCTTGCTGACTCAACCCTACGCTCTTGAGCTTCACACGTCTTCTGATTTCACTTCTCCCACCAAAGGACTGCCAAATTCTGGTATTTCTTTCTACATTTGCCAAAAATCTGCACTGACCTTACCATCAAAACTCATTTCCCATGTCCCTAATCAAATGGAATCCAAATGGCTACCATCACCTTGACCTGCCAACTTATCTCTTTTCTAGTACATTCCAAAGATTTACTATGATTTTCTTCCCTGCCTAGTAGTCAGCTATGTCCATAACTACATCTTTATCTCCCGACTTCCAGAGTCACTTCGCACAAGGTTTGAATACTCCACCTGCTTCCCTTCCTGTTCTATAGTTAAAGAGCACTACTGAGAACAGAAAAAAAAATGAAATATTGTTAAAATGTCATTTAAATGAGCTTACTTTAAAACACACTACCATCAATTCAAAGCTACACTTAAAAAAAAAAAAATAAAAAAACCCCACGTTTGCTATTTGAAAGAAAGCTCAGCCAGAAGCTAGCACGCCATGGGAAAGGACTGGCTAAGAACCCAAGCAGGCTGTCTCTGACTACTACGCGCTGCTCTGCAAGTGCAAAGAGCACGTTCCTACCGCTCACATCAGCTCAGCGGCTACTTTCAAAGTGATGAAAAAAAAGAGGAATTCAAGAGAAGAGCAGAAGGCAGTTTATCTGCAGTTTCTGCGCAGACAGGACAGCGGGAGGGGAAGCCGGCGGAGTGCGCGGGGAGCGGGGCGCGCAAGGAGCCGCGCTCG